CAAGTTTGGTAAAATTGAAAGCAAAAATTATTTTAAAAAACGAGAGCTAAAAAAAAAATTGCGAGACTTTCACCATATGCGACTGTAACGTCAAAAGATTTACCCGCAGCAAAAAATACACGTTCTAATGGCATCTCAAAGTAATTTTATACGGCCTTCCCGGTTCCATCTTCTTCAAATGAAATAATGCGCAATGGCGTCGAAATCAACTTTAAAACAGCTCATTTCAATATATATATAAAAATAGCACTACAATTTCAAACTTGATTAAGGAATATTCTCATTCTTGTTTTTTATCTCTTTCATTGCATTATTTTTATTATTATTATTATTATTACTATTATTATTTTATTATTTTTATTTTATTATTTTTTGTATTATTTTTATTATTATTGTTATTATTTGAATTGAACATTTGAAATGAACAAAGGGGGATAAAAAGTGTTTTTACAATAAATTGTAGAAGAAAATGAAAAAGTTGATTACGACGCCACTGATGGTATATTATAAGAATAAGAGATGAGAATAAGCACCAAATGATCAGGTGTGGTTGCACGCCGAATTACGTGATCAAAGCAGATCCGATGATAATAGCTTTACTTTGCTACCTGTATTGAAAGTCTTCATTCGAGCATATCAATTTCTTGACCCACACCGACAAAAAATTATATTACAAAAAAAAAATCAGGGATATGATTAATAAAATAAAAATGGAGCAGCATCACTTTTCGTTATACATTCAAAGGAAATACCATTTCTAATTTAAATAATATATTTTTCACCCCTATTTTCAATTTAATTAATTTTTATTTTTATTCTAATACAAAGGATGCTTTTTTTAATTCTTAAATATCCTATTAGTTTGTTAATGAGGAAAATATAAATTGATTTCTAGAAAAAAAAATTCTCTAAATTTGAATTAGTGGAAATTTTAACTTTTCGAATGAATAAAAGAAAAAATGGAAAAATTAGATACTAATTCAAATTAGTTAAATAATTTTACTAATTCAGAGAGTAGGTTTTATTGTACAATAAAATATAAATACAAGTGTATATCTGTTATCGTTTAAATTGAAAAATGTTGACGTTTCACAAAAAAAAAAAAAAAAAAAATATTGCTTAATATTTAAGTTCTTTTCGAGGTCGTTCACGGCCGAATATTAAACTCTTTCACATCGTATATACATATATATATATAAGGTGAAATGTTATATTGTTATTGTCAATTTACAGTTGATTTTTCATTGAATGTAACTTCTTTTACGCAGAAGAATGACAACAAGAAGACAAACATTATAAAAGCTGCGTCGATGTAGCCATTAAAAAATAACGGAAAATTCTCAACGGTTCAGGAACCTACAACAATCAATTGTTATTGATGGTCTATTCATCAATTTCTCATTGTTTATCTTCTCATCCAACATTTCGTTTTCCTTTTAAAATACGTATATCATTTATAATTTATGATATAACTTAAACTGATTTTTAATGTATATAGATAAATTTTTAAAAATTTATCTATATATAATGAATTTTTATTATTTAACTATTAATATTTTTTATTATTACTATTATTAATACTGTTAAATCATTTTTAGCTTTAATTTTTACTATTTGTTTTCAATAAGTAGAATTCCACTTTAAATTAAATATTGAAAAATTTTTTGAGACACTATATATACAGAATTTCTTGTACTATTTTGTATGCGAAATTGTGCATGGATTATTAGTAACTGCGTTCTTAGAATTTCGCAATTTTCCAAGAGCGTGTAATTGGGTCGCTGTATGCCAAATTAATGTCAAAGGATTTGCATACAATCCGAAAGTGCGTCTATATAGTCGAAACATATGTACCCTGTATATATTGCGTGCAAATACTTCGGAGTATAAAGAATTCCTGTAGTTTTACCTGAATTTATTTTAGATTAGCTGGATATTTGCCCAGCTGCAAAATGAGCGCCACACAAATTCAATTTATTTTCATAGATACATACACATGTGTGTGTATGTGACTAGGCGAACCGTATTTATCCGCCTACTGCATTTAAAAAAGAATGTTGTTCCCGTCGTGTGGCAGTCAGCCTTTTTTTTAAAAGAATTCTTTGTGCACTCTTTCAACACATATATATATGCATTTCACTTTCCAGGAAAAGACAAAGAATTTTTGTTAAATTCAAATATATATGCATCATCAACAAATCCTAAATTGGTTTATGTTTACAATTTAGATTTTTTTTATTTGGATTTTGTATTCACAGAAAATTAAAAGGCATTAAAATAAGCTGCAATGCTTATTATTTTAATCCATTTTGGTATTAAAATAAGCAAAATTGGATTAAAATAATAAGCGTTGCAGCTTATTTTAATGCCTTTTAATTTTCTGTGATTTTTACTATATACAAAGGAAAAATATGAAAAACACACGGGGATAGAAAATAACAATTTACGATATAGAGATGCAATATAAGTTTATTGACATTATTAGTTACGATATTCACGGATTGTGTCGTAAGATAAACTTCATAATACCATATATTGACAATAAATGACATGAATTTAAGTTGCAACAGACTGACGATATAATCAATGGGTTCTCTCCTATATAGATATCCCTTAAGGATACGCGAGTAGTTTTGCTTACGTGACAATAATTAATTCCCAGTCGTGCAGTTCAACAGTTTAAACCTTCAAAGAACCATGCTGGAAAACGAGATATAATCATTTCTAACAATACCGCGAACATGTTAATTATTTAAAAAAAAAAATCTATAAAGGTTAATAATTATGTTCAAAGAAACATATTCGCTCACCAAAAAATTAAACAGAAACTAAAATATAAATGTTTAATAACATTTAAAAATGAATTTGTGGAGCAAAATATATTGCGCCTATAAATTCTATTTTTGACATTAAATTGTTTTGTCATGAAACAATGTTTCGCTGTTATATATATTAAAAGACATCTAATTAAGAACAAGAGGCGGTCGCAATCTTTTGATGATTATTATTGAATCATCTGTGTGCGTATATACTTCAATCAGAAGCCGCGCGCGGCATAACAGAAATATATTTGAAATCACAAATGCCAATTCACTGTCATTCATTTAATTAATTTATGTCAAGTTTTATCATAGTTGAGTTTCACGCGACAATATTTTTTTCTTTTTTTTTTTTTTTTGCATTATCGGCAATCTACAAGTATATCAAACCAATTTTATGTGCGACAAATAAACATTTTACTCGTGTACTTATAGAGAGAATAACGTAAGTTACAATATACTTTTGACTTCTTGATCAATCTTCAAGTACTGTGTCCTTCTTTTCTCTTTAAGAGTCAATCATTTTCTATTGAGACAATTATTATTGTATAGTAGAGGTAGGGAAATAATTTCTGTCACAAAAAAAACAAAATTGTAAAAACAAATAAGTTTGACGATAATGAGTGGAATTTTAAGCTAATTTCTGTTTTACCAACCGAGTAATGAATAGGTGTTTCGTAAATTGGCGCTGCGATACTTGACACAATTTTATATTCGTTAATTTTACAATTTAGGAATAAAAATTAATTTACATCATTGTTACCATGGTAACTTACTAAAATTAATGTAACAGCTACGAAACCCTTTAATGAAGGCATTTAGTATAAATTTAATATTAATTAAAAGATTTTCTCTCTCCCTTTTTGGAAAAATTAAATTGACAACACGGCATTTCTTTGAACGTTAAATACAAACGGATTAATTTAGATTTTGTAAGAGTATATGTCAATTAATAGAAATCCGTTTTAGACTTGCTTCCGTAAAGACGAGCGTCTACCAACTTTGTATATAACTTATTGTAATTATATCTGCACAATCGTGAATGACCTCGTTCTTCGTTATTCAGGAACAACTATGTCATTTGCATGCCTCTGTAATTACACCTCTATATCATCTAAAAATATATTTTGCATTTAATAAGAGCAAAAGTCAACCTCAAAATTTTTAGATGTTATCTTAAAATTATGGCCTCAGATCCAAGTGAGGCAGCGCCATCTACATTAAAACTATAATTTTGGAAAATTTTCAACAGTCTTTTCTTGAAAACAAGAAGGTAAAATGCGTTTTTCTTTATGGATAATTGATTATTAGCAAGAAATACAACTTTTTTTGGGTTAAAATGATGAAAATAATTTCATATCGATAAATTAAATATGAGTTTTCACAAAAACTGTAACAGTATACTTTCTCGGAATTAACAATCAAGAATACAATTTCCATTTGGAAAATTAATAAACGTTAAACAAGCTAAGATTCACCAATCACGAAAATAACAACAAAAAATTTTATTTCATATTTAATATAATATGGACACTGTTTTACTGATTGTGATAGCTCTTTGGTAGATTATGTATTTCAGGTGATTAGCAACAGCGCCAATCTCCTCCTTTCGGCAAAACCGCACAAAACGTCTGGTGACATATATAACCTGCCAAACGGCTGTCATAATTAGTAAAATATGTTATGTTAAAAAACTTTTTTTTTGTTATTTTCGTAATTGGTAAATTTTAGCTGGTGTATTTTTCAGAGTTTATTAATTTTCCAAATGAAAATTGCATTTTTGATTGTAATTTCTGAGAAAGTACTGTTATAGTTTTTGTGAAAAAAGTGCTCATATTTCACTGTAAAAAGAAGGTACTAAAATAGTACAAATTTTAGGTATTAAATTAGAACCAAGAGGCAATTTAGTACCTAAAGTTGGTATTAAATTAATACATCTCGTTTTACAGTGTTAATTTATTGACATGAAATTTTTTTCATTATTTTAACTCAAAAAAAGTTTTAGCTGTTGTATTTCTTGCCAATAATCAATTATCCATTTTTATCTTCTTGTTTTCAAGAAAAGGCTATTGGAAATTTTCAAAAATTTTAGTCTCAATGTAAATGGCGCTGGACATGGCCTTAAATATTATTTGATAATAAATATAACAGCTTAATTGTTGGTTTCTTTTTTTGCTTCAGGTATAATGGAAGAAAACAATGGATTCATTTTATGGCGCTGTGTGTTGACATTTGGTGGGGAACAATAGAGCCAGGTAGAATCGGGAGTGTTTGGATTTTTATTAAATCGCGAATATTTCATAATTTCTAAATAATTCGTAGTTTTCGGGAGTGCTAGTATTTTATTAAAATCGCGTTCGTTAACAAGTATTTAATGTCATTGTATTTTCGAAAGTGTTCGAAATTTAAAACCGCGTTCGTTTTTTAGCATAAGTATTTTATTTTTTATTTTCGGGAGTGGTCGAAATTCTTAAAATCGCGTTCGTTTTTAACATAAGTATTTTATTTCATTGTATTTTCAGGAATGTTAGAAGTTTTTAAAACTGTGCGTGAGTGAAAAATAGTGTTCAAACGCCGCTACGGATTGGAGACCATCTTAAGACCGCATGTATCAGGAAATATCAAGGTAAAAATTTTTTTCTACTATAATTAATAATTATTTCAAAATAGTTTAATGAATCCGATAGAAAAAAGAAAACAGTATGTATATATACCTTCGAAGAATTTTCCTATAGCAATTTTTAATTACTTCTTTCTAAGTTTTGAATATATTTTTTAAAATCCCAGCAACCTTTTGGGTTCTTATTAACACAGAAAATTAAAAGGCATTAAAATAAGCTGCAACGCTTATTATTTTAATGCCTTTTAATTTTCTATGAATCTCAATGTTTAAAAATTTTTATGAATTGAAAGTATTTTATTTTAAATTATAATTGGAATCACTATATATATATATATTATTGATTGAAACTGTCAGTAGTGAAGCTACACATTATTAAATCTACCATATTATACTACTTGAATGCTATAAATCTTTATATACCAAGCTACAATTTTAAATCGTTAAAAAATTGAAACTCGTTTTGAAGAAATTATAATGATCTTGTGCAGAGAATTTTTGTACTCCATGTTCTTTTTGAAAAGTATTTTCTTGGGAGGGGAATTTTTTTCCAAATTCTAAAAGCAAAATTAGTGTTACGTTAGATAGATAGATGCGCGCGAGAGGCAAGCCACAAGGGTTGTTCACAGTTGCTCCGTGCAGGAATGTCGTTCCTGTAAATTGATGCCTTCTCTCTTGCAGTCAACTAAATAAGGGCCATCTTCCATATCTACCTAGTAAAGACAAATGTTGCTCTTGGCTACAAGAAACATAAGCATTGCTCTCTTCGTAGACTATACATATATGTCAAATAAACCATATGTTCGTTTATAGTTTTAATCTTTTGGAATTTTTCAAATAGAGAAAATAACAGAAAATTAAACTGGTATTATTTTCTATTAATTTTAAATAATATACATAAATAAATAATTTAAAAATAATTAACAATTTTTAAAAATTATTTTAATAAAATTAGTTTAATAAAATTTGATAAAATTACTTTTAATAAAATTAGTTTAATAAAATTTGATAAAATTACTTTTAATAAAATTAGTTTAATAAAATTTGATAAAATTACTTTTAATAAAATTACTTTAATAACTTTAATTGAACTTAATTTTTAATCTATTTAGTTATCATCTTTAATTTTTTTCAAAATATCTTTTTGGTCCATTGAAAATTTTATACAACATCCGAGTGATAATTAATAATCTACACTTATTACACTTCCTGTATACAAATGATAAATTTTTATTTTCTCCTGGTCAAGTTCGATAACTTCATGTTCCCTACTTATATATATTTATTTTTTAGTACAATTAAAATTCAAAAAAATATTTTTTTAAAACTACCGAAGGAAAAAAAAAGTTTTTTTATAAAAGATTATTTTACCAGTTTAAATTTTTGTTAAAAATAAAAATCCTCTTTAGTGCTCTAATATATAATCATTATTTTATAGTTGGAAAGTCAAAAGTCATCGTATATATGACTTTTTTATTCAAATCATCAAGGCCAGAGTAATTTTATTTAATAACTTGTTTTTTTTTCCCGTTTAAATTTTTTGATATTCTCAGTATTTATCAAAAAAAAAAAGATGTACCTGATGATAATAAATGTAATGATGTATAATTTGTGTATACTGCTGCTAAATAGCTTTGATGTGTCCTAGTTAAAATTTATATCTAATTTCATTATCATTCAGTTTCTTCATAATGAAATATGTTAATATGATTTCCTGTATAACAAACCTTTTTCAAAAACTTTCTTTAAAAAAAAAAAAATTTTTTTTCTAATTAAATCAAAAAAAAACTTTTTTTTTGATATCAGAAATCTTTATATCGTCGCAAGTGAGAATTAGTGTATGTTTATTATTTATTATCAGTCGAATTATGAAACTGGAATTTTTACATAATATTCCTTCAAACAAGAAGGTCATGACTCCCTTTTTAAGTCGCGCGTATATGCCAAAGACGTGTGGCGTGAGAATCGGCAAGAATTACATTTTTCTTAACGCATATATGTATATACATATTACACTTATTTACATCGTGCGAAATTTTTCGCGTTCCTTGCACTTGTGGTTCACACGTTCGACGACCTCAACTTTGACCGTGTAAAATACTCATCTATATGAAAACAACATTAATCGTGCTCATCTTTAACTAGTTATTGATATATTACCTTTTTGCCTTTTGCCTCTATTTCAAATATTATTTATCGTCTTTATAATTCTATTACTGATAAAAAAAAATTATTTAATTTAAATTATTTAAAATTTTTGTCATTTTTATTTGAATTTTTGTAATTTATTATATATCTAATAATAATCTTCCTTAAAAATTTCTTTAAAAATGCTTTTGGAATTTCAATTAATATTACCCAATGGGAAATTTACCATTGGCAAAAGAATGGCCCAATATTGGCAGCATTGGCCCAATATTGGTCCTATAATGGCCCAATGGTTACCATATTGGCAATTTCCCACTGGGTAGCTATTTTTTTAATAAAAATTTTTATATTTTCGAATTTTTCATTAATTCAAATTATTTAAATAATATTTACTAGGTTCAAATATTTTTTATTTGGATAAAAAAAATAAATACAAATAAACTTTTATTTAAATTAAAAAACATACTGTATTGAATGAAATTTTCATAATTAATATAATTAAAATTATTATTTATTAACTTTAATTATTTCACTTAGTAATTTGCAATTGATAAAAATTACTGTTTATTTGATACGATAAAATAAAATACCTGGGTTTAGTAAATATTTATTTGGTTTAAATACATATTTACTGAATGATAGACAAATTATTTACTTGGATCAAAATACTTTTTATTTGACCCAAATAATTTTTATTCAGTGTATAAATATGGCAACTAATTTAGAGTAAAAAATCACATTTTTCAAATGAGGAATATTTTTCAATTATCATCTTGTATATGTTTTTTTTTTTTTTTTGATAAAGACTCAGAATATCAAAAAATTTAAACGAAAAAAAATTATTAAATAGAATTATCATTGGAAAAATTGGAAATTTTTTTTTTGATTACGAATATGATGTCCGTTTTCAAAAATTCAAAATGGCGGATCCAATATGGCGGAAGACTATTTTAAAAATTGATCCAATTTGCCTGAAAATCTTTACTCGGGGTTTTTTAGGGTCGCTGTTAACGGATATGATGTGCGTTTTTAAAAATTCAAAATGGCGGAACACTGTTTCAAAAATTGATCCAATTGACTCAGAATATCAAAAAATTTAAACGAAAAAAAAATTATTAAATAGAATTATCATTGGAAAAATTGGAAATTTTTTTTTTGATTTTTTTTAAATGTCTATAACGATATGGAGGGGAAAAAAAGAAATTTAATTGGATTTATTCTCTTATATGTAGGAAAATGAATATATATGTATATATATATATATATATATATATATATATAGCATTGAGTGTAGTGTGTAGAGTTGGAAATTCTTTTGCAATTCTACAAGAGTTGCAACGTCTCAAGGTCGCGTGGAAGTAAACTCGACCAGTAATGAAGATTCCATCGCCTTCTAAGTATCCATGGTGAGGTGTATACTTTGCATCTTGTTCAGCTTAAAAAATAATCGAGCGTGTCCAAGAGCCACTCGTTTTGTATTTTTCTATCGAATGGATCGGAGACATTCGTATATATATATATCGACCCAATGCCAACAGTAATGTTCTCCTGCTAAAATAATTTTCTGTTTTCTTCTTTTTTTTTTGCATAAGAATTGTCCTTTCTCAGCTTGGTATTTCAGAAATTTAACAAAGAGCCTTGTTTCGAATCGAATACGTGTCTTTTTTTGATTTATTTTCAATCAATTAAAAGCAATAAATGGATTTTTCTATATATAAAAAAAAAAAATAAATTCTATAAAATAAATAGAAATGAAATCTCACCTTCAAGAGTTTTCTTTTTGATTTCTTATTATTTAATAGGCTTCTAGATTGCCAATTATTGAATAAATTTTCGGATTAAATTCGAAATGTTTCTCCTTTCGATCACTTTTATTTGCATTAATCTTCTTTAGAAAAAAAAAATTTTTGACAAATTTTTTTTTCTCAAAGTTAAAAAAAACTCATTTTACTATTTCGTAATTTTACGATTTTTGTTTTCTTTTTTATGCTCTAATTTTTACTATGGAAAAATTATTATTAGTCATTGCCTAATGATTATACATATCCTAATTATTAATGAAAAATTATAGCTATTATTTTAAAAAATTTATTTATTACGCCAGTTTCCTGCGCGCGGTTGAAAGAATATTCTTCATTGAAATGTGACTGGTAATGATCGAGGTGAAGATACAATGCAAATTAAAATGATACACCTGCCTTATTCCCATTGAAAAGGAACTCGCACTTATTTCAACAGTGAGGTGCTTCAATTTGCCGTTATTAATTCACGCATTTCATTCTCAGTATATATATATAATATACCTTTTCTCTCTTTCTCATGTATAAAAAAAAATATAGAACGGTACAAAATTAATGAGGTATTCAACACACGTCCTAATTAACTTCTCTCTCGCGGGATTATCCAAATTTATTATTAATGTATATGATATATAAATATTAGAGAATTTTTCGTGGATTAAGAAAATAAAAAAAACGAAGCATTGTGAGTAAAGAAAAATTTTATAAGAATTAGGGACAATGCGCCTTGGCCCACAAAGAGAATTATAACCTCTTTATACAAGTTACACGTTACCTAAAACTCGCGCACCCGTTAATCATAACAGTTTTGGCGATTCTAACGGAACTCTTTATCATAGGACAATGCTCCTTTTTAGACGAGACCCTGAATTATTATTTTTTTTTTCAAATTTAATGGGACAGGGAAATTTTTAATCTGTATCAGAATAACGATAAAAGATGTCTCCAATTGACGAATTTACGCTTTTCTGAACTTTCCGCAGTTTTTGCACAATTCTGTCAATTTTAACTCCAGAAATAGTAAAATTAACTCCGAAAATAGTAAAATTTACTCCCGAC